GTAATGTAAAGTAATGTAATGTTGAATCAATGACGTTGAGAATCGGCTGCAGAGACTTCAGGGTCCTGGTCTTGGGTGTGCTGGTTCTCCGTCATGATTTACTGGGACACTTAATGGTTCTTTAATTCTTTTCTTAATCTTCCAGTTTAAACTAAATTAACATACTTTGATGCGTCTCAGTCAGTTTCAGACCACGTAAAGACTCCTGAGGACGTGTTTGGACAATTATTTGTCCTTAACAGACATATACATACATATATACGTATATAATATATATATATGTATTTATGTATGTATATATTTATGTATATATGTATGTATATATGTATATATATGTGTCTATATATATATAAAATATCTCTGAGTGTGTGTGTGTGTGCGTGCGTGCGTGCGTGTGTGTGCGTGCGTGCGTGTGTGCAACCGGACAAACATGCACTCTTTGTCAAGACGTCAGTGCAGTCAGCTGAGCGTTTTGTTCTCCAGAGGAGGAGGAGTTTAGCAGGCCTGGATTTTATCTGAGTATTTTTGTTAGCGTGTTTGTTTGTGTGTGTGTGTGAGTGTATGTGTGTGAGTGTGTGTGTGTGTGTGCGCGTGTGTTGTGTGTGTGTTTACGCCTGGTGAGCGTTTTGTCACATCAGAGCTTTGATCTGTTGCCTCCTACGATCTTTTGTCCCACAGTGTTCATATGAGAGCAAACAATAAGTGCTCTGTTGCTTCTGCTTCAGTCACATGCAGCTAAAAGCCGACTGCCGTCACAAACATACCAATATATAATAAATAATAAATAATGTCATTATTATCATTAATACCATCATAATGTAATTGCATCATGGGTAATAAATCACACTATCCTCAGAGCTTCCTGCATGATCACATGGATAATAGATGAGAGTTTGCCTCCATGATACTTTAATAATAATAATACTTTGAAAAAAGAATCACAGATTAATAACCACAGTTTTTTTATAGCATCTCAGAATCTTATCTTCAGCAATTGGAAATATTTGATTAAATTATTATTATTTTTTTTTTTTACACACGATGCAGAAAAATGATTTAATCTGTTACGTAACAAAAATGCAATAATATCCTGTCTGCGTTTGATTTCCTGCCCTGTGGCTGGCTGTTCCTCTGCCCGTTGGCACAGCAGCAGGACCGTAAAGGAGGAGGGGCCCCGAGCAGGAGGGCTCCCCCATCCTTCTTTCTCCTCCCTGCAGCAGAAGATGAGTGCTCCTCCGAGTGGGAAACTGTTTGTGAACGAGCTCCAGTGAGCCTCAGCTAAGTTTTACCGGGCGTTTGGTCTGAGCCTCGTCCATCTGAAGTGCAGCCAGAGAAGCAGAAGAAGAAGAAGAAGAAGAAGAAGCAGAAGAAGAAGAAGAAGTGAACCGTGGAGGTCTGAAGAGAGACATGGACTCGCGTGACTGCGCTCTGGAGCTGCTGGTGATGCTGGTCTACGTCGCAGCGTGGCTCTGTGCTCTGGCCACCACCCTCCTGCCTCACTGGCTGACGGTGTCCACCTCCCTGCTGCCCGTGGAGAGCTATGGTCTGGGTCTGTGGGAGACCTGCGTGGTCCAGGACGTCGGGGTCACGGAGTGCCGGGCCTATGACAGCCTGCTGGGCCTCCCCAGCTACCTGAAGCTGGCCCGAGTCCTCATGTGCACCTCCCTCGCCGTGGGAGCGCTGGGGATGCTGGTGGCCGTGCCGGGGCTCTACCTGGTGGCCGGCTGTGGAGGCCTCGGAGGCTCCAGAACCAAGAGGACTTTAACGGTCACGGGAGGCGTGCTGGGGGTGATCTCCGGGGTGCTGTGTCTGATCCCCGTGTCCTACATGGCCCATTTGGCCGTGGCAAACTTCTTCGACGACAAAGTGCCCGACATGGTGCCACGGTGGGAGTTCGGCGATGCCTTGTTCTGCGGCTGGACCGGAGGGTTCCTCCTGGTGGTGGCCGGGCTCCTCCTGGTCTCCTCCTGCTGGTGTTCTCAGGTGGAGCCTCAGCCTGCAGCGCTGCAGCGCAGATACCAGGTCATGAGCACGGACGTGTCCTTCAGGAAACGCTCAGAGTACGTTTAAAGGACTGAGAGAATGTGAAGCCGACAGCACAACACCATCACCAGTAGGACTGCACTTCAACCTGCCTTCAAAAGAATGATGTAAATATCTGGTTTAGTGTCAAAGACGTCGCTTTGTGTTGATCAAATGTTTTGTGAAAATGTAGAAAACATGCAGCTATTTATCGAATCTCTCACCTGCAACAATCCAACATCACGTTATAAAAAGAAACCTGCTGTGACCAGTAAACATGAATATTTTTTTAAAAGATATGTTTTATAGAAAATGCTTTATGGTGTGTGTGTGTGGGGGGGGGGGGGACTGTTTTTGTCTTCTAAAGTGCCAACAAAGAAGAAAAATACTATTTCTTAGCTTTTTAAAATGCTGTGATTGTAAGTTATTCTTGATACTAAAACAGAGAGAGCGCACGTTATTCTGTGCTCAGGATGCTTCCTGCAGCCGAATCTGATGAATCACATAAAGAATTATATTGAAATTATATTAAAAAATTGCCTCTTTTTGTTTTTCATGTTGGACTCCAGTGATTTCAAATATTTCAATTTAAATGAGAAGCCGTGAATCTGTATGAAGCATGTTTTTCTTCAGTTATGTCAGAGGTGGAAACACGGCTGCTCTCTTCTCCCCCCCCCCCCCATCCGGTCGTCTATTGGTCACATAAACCTGAAACCTTTATTTTTTGGTCTGAAGTGGTCCCTGAGGGGGGGGGGCACAGAAAACAGCCGCCTCGGTGCGTCAGGTGCGTCTGCGGCGGTGGAAACGCAGCTTGAGACTAATTCCATCAGATTTCCTGGTGGCTCGCTGGGCTAAGCTGTGTTTAATGAATGCTCTAATGGGCAGCGTGTCCCGAGAAGAATGCAGGACCGGCTGCCCTGGCGGCTCCCGCTTTGACATAATTACACAAAAGGTCAGAGGTCGCCGTCGCTGTCTGTCCTCTGAAAACTATGTTTGTGTCGTTTACGTGGACGCAGGACCAGTGACATGAACGTGGACGGCTTCTAAACCTCCACATCCGGATGATGGTAGTTTTTATTTAGTCAGCACTTATAGAACGAGATAATGATGTTGAAGAAGCACATGTTGCCCTTTAGGGGATGATGAGACAACGAGCTGCTGGAGACAGACATGTAAAAGACTTCACCGCCTCTATTAACTTAGGAGCAAGAAACACAGACTTTGTAGTTATTTTTGCCCCTTATTGTAGTTGTTTGTATCCTGCTCTGTAGTCATTCTGTATCTCTTTGTAGTCTTTTTGCATCTCTTTGTAGTCTTTTTGTGTCTCTTTGTAGTCTTTTTGTGTCTGTTTGTAGTTGTTTAGGTCTGTTTGTAGTCTTTTTGTGTCTGTTTGTAGTATTTTTGTGTCTCCTTGCAGGCCTTTTTTTGTCTGTTCCTGGTAGATACGTGTCTTTTTGAGTGACATTTTGTAGGTGAAGGCCAGGGAGGTCCCCTGACACTTGGGGCCCCTGGGCCTGAGCCCAGTAGGTCCGTTCAGTAATCAGTTCCACGCTGCCCGGCCTCACAGAGGCAGCTTCCTATCGTCTGACGCCGTCAGGCTGCAGGGAGGACCTGGTGTCTCCCAGAGTGAGGGCGGCTATCAGCAGCGAAAACAACAAACCGCAGAGATGATTACCTTCATGATTCTTCATAATTACTGTAAAACTCCAAGTGGCGGCACAAAGGAAATGACATGTCGTCTTCTCATGAAGAATTATGCTTAAATGCATCCGACTGCAAACAAACAAACCGACCCTGAAGGGAGTGATGATCTACTGCCCGACTATCACATGACCCGACAGTTCAGATGGAGATGGAGATTAGTGTTCAGACTTTGATAAATATGATTGGGAAAAACATTTCTCTTGCTCAACACACTCATAACAGATACACCATCATGGTAATGTTGCTGCACCCTCACAGTCACCAACAGTAACTAAATACCTCTTATCTGTCTTATCTAGAGAGGGAGACTAGTATAGAAATACAACAATGTAGAATACGTAAGTAGGTAAAATAGTAAATGTCCTGCATTCAAAATACTACAGGAAAGTACATTATTAGAAACAAAACAGTCAAATGAGTCCAGTGGTTCCCAACCCAGGGGTCGGCCCCCTCCAGAAGGGTCGCAGGATCAATGTGAGGGGCCGTGAGATGATTGATGGGAGAGGAAATAGGTCTGGAACAGCTTCATGAAACCATCTGAAGGTTAAAGGAGCATGCCACTGGTTTCCCATTATTTATAAATAGGATAAAAAAAAAATCAAATTTACCAGAACACTCTCACTCCCAAGTGGTGTGGCGGTCTAACTTTACATTTTTGGACGTTTCAGGGACGGCGTGTCGGTTTTGTTACATCTTTTCAAAATAAAGCTCCAACGTAAGTTTACTTTTTTTACGTTTTTTATGGTTTACTCAAACAAAACTGGGTTTAGTGAAAGATTGTGGTTTTGGTTAAAATAAGTATGTTTGTTACGTAACCAAACTACAGTAAAAATGTTGACTTGGTTTTCAAATGAGAGCTGTAGGAATCACTCATTGTTTTAGCCAACAGGAAGTTGTCATCGCACTGAAAGCTCAGCAACTCACCTCTGCCTCAAGTGACATCACTTGAGGCAGTTTAACTTCTGAAGCCACGAAAAGTCTTTAATGCAACTTTTTTTATTTCTAATATATTTGCAGTAAGTTTCCCTTTAAGAGGAGAAATGTATAGTCTTTGGTGGAACTGCTCTGACGAGACGTTGCTTTATCTTTAACTGGTTTAATCTTTAACAGCATGTTGCGTGAAGTTATATCTTTGACATGACTCGTAGATGATGATCGTTATCTGATCTCATGGGACGATTGAAGGAAGTTAAAAACAAATCTACTTCGAACTTTTTTTTTCATCTCTCTTGAATCTTCTGCAAATAAAATCTTTGTGAATGTCTGAACTTATGATTATGACGGTTTAAATTGCACTGATCACTTTTTTATCAGCGCTCCGTTATTCATCAAATGACTTGAGCAAACGAGATTAGATAAAACATTATGGAGAGAGAGAGAGAGAGAGAG